AAGGGAGGGGCAAGGGGGAGGGACTGTGGGATGGAGTTCCAGAGGATAGGAGCAGAGTGACAGAAGGCCCCCCTGCCAATAGTGGGGCGAGCGAGGCGGGGGATGTGAAGTAGGCCGGAGCCCGCTGAACGGAGGGAACGAGCAGGATGGTAGGGGGTTAGGAGGTCGCAGAGGTAGGGGGAGCAAGACCGGGGAGGGCTTTGAAGGTGAGGACCAAGATTTTTATCTGTATATCCTCTGTGTGATGGGAAGCCAGTGGAGTTGGGCAAGGATGGGGGTGATAGGGTCACGGAGCCTGGTGCGGGAGAGGACATGGGCTGCAGAGTTCTGGATGATCTGCAGCGTATGGAGGGAGGAGTTGGGGAGGCCGACAAGCAGGGAGTTTGCATAGTTGAGCCTCGATGTAATGAAAGCGTGTATGAGGCGGCCTGCGATGTGAGACAGTGGCGGAGCCGGGCGATATTGCAGAGGTGGGGGAAGGCTGAGCGGGTCATGCCTCAGATGTGGGGTAGAAAGAATAGTTGAGGGTCAAACAAGACCCCAAGGTTCTGGACTGGCTTAGTAAGGTGGAGTGTGCAACCATGGATGGTGATGCTGTCAGCGCCTGAGGTGAGGAAGTGCTGACGGGAGCCAATCAGGAGAGCCTCGGTCTTGTTGACATTCAACTGAAGAAAGTTAGCTCTCATCCAGGACTTGATGTCTAACAGACGTTCAGTCAGGACAGCAGTGGTCCTGGAGTCAAAGGTGGAGGCAGAGAGGTGGAGCTGGGTGTCATCCGCATACATGTGGAAGCCAATTCAACTGTTATCTTACCCCCACCCCCAAGGTGTAAAGGAGTATAGTCACTAGATACAAAATACACAATAGCTACACTTTATAATAAAATCCTGTGAAGTGCTTTGAAATGTCCTTCCAACATGAAAGGTACTACATTAAATGTAAAGATTATCATTCTTTTGTTTAAAGACTCTCATTGCCGCTATGTCTCCATTGACCTCGTTCATTCAGGAGACTGATGACGAATGAGCTCATACCTTTTAAGGGCTGTTGTCATTACAGCTTTTGATTGATAACCAGTATATATACAGTGATAAATAACTGATCTACATCCCATGCAGAAGGGGCTTTGCCACGAGATACCTCCATGTTGAATCCTGACAATGAGTATGCAAAACTTAATGATAGAAAGTACAAGTTCATAAGACAGTCAAGGTTGGATGTGCCTCGGGTCCTTTTGAATGAAGTACATTTATTTTACTATTACAAAAACGAGTGTTATAGTCCCTAATACCCTGATCATGCAGAAGGAATATTGATGGCACTTTGGTGCGATCAGATTGCCGATGACCCGCTGATAATCAATTTGACCATCGCTGGGGCTTAGTATGCGGGGAGGAAAACTCACTATTCAGTTATTCTGGCTGGCAATTTCATTCCCAGTGTCAACAGCACCATTGATGCTGGTAATTGAACTGGTAATTGCAGCATTACACAACCTGGGAGAGTCAACTATAATAGCATCTCAAGTGTGCCGCAGTGTCTCCATCCACACTTAGTGTGTGATTCTGGTAATGATGTAATGACAAGTTGTAATGCAAAGAAACGGGCAATGAAGCAGCAGCTCTCATTGCTAACAATGAGACAACAGGATGTGTCACAGCAGGAGAGTGAAAGGAGGTGAAAGAGTAATCTTGCCGAGAGGTTTCTGCTGATAGTCTCATTGATGACTGGACTTCCTGGGGTGGGGCAGGAAGAAAAGGAACGTTTGGATCAAATGCCTTCAGCTACTTTAATCAGCAAAGTCACAACACTTGTATTTTAATAATAACCTTGCATTTGATATAGCGCCTTATCGCATCATTGAGACGTCACAAAGAGTTCACACAATATACTGAAATTAATTGACTGTATATTTTGTGGGCAAAACACAGCAGCCAATTGCACACAGCAGTGTCCCACAAACAATTGTGGATTGAGTAACCAATTTTTTTTTGGAGGATTATTTTCTCTGTTAGCAATCCATCAATCGACTAACAACCGTGTTCCTACTTACAATGCTAGGTATACAGAGGCGTATGGAGTAAGGAAACTTGCCTAAGGTTTCGCCTTGCCTAGGAATCTGGTACAGGACTCCACAAGGTGTATTATGTAACATCTTTCAAGGAGGGTAATGTCTTGAGGTATTATAAGGATAGTATAAAAATGGGAAAGGTAGGTACTGAAGGTACAGTTGAAGGGATAGATTTACAGTAAGGGTTTGAAGACAGTGGGGTAGAAATTCCACCTGGGTCGAGATTTACTCAGTTAATGTAGAATTTCAGAGCATTCAGAATCTGGCAAAATCTTTAAATACAGCCTTAAATTTGAGGCTGATTTCTTGTTTCAAGAACTACAGAAACCCAACTTCTAAGTTAAGACTGAATTCAAGTATTTGTCAAATTCTGAAATGCTACATTAAGAGAATAAATCTAGACGCAGGTGGAATTTATCTCCAAGTGTGTGAGGGTCTGAGTTAAACAGATTTTTGGAGGAAGTTCAAAGAGTAGATAGGCATATAGTGCCTGAAACTCTCAGAGATGGTAGTCTCTTTTCATCATGGTGAGACCCAAAGGAGAGATACAACTAGGAAAAACATCAACAAGATATTTGACTGGGTGCATCATATTTGAGTCTGATCCTGCCCTTTCATATGTATAGACCTTGTCCTCTCCCTCTCTCTCTCTCTCAAACACACACACACCACCCTTCCCTCTCATGCTCACATGTCGATCCTACTATCTCACACCCTGTCTCACACACACTGCTCTCTCTCACATACATAGCCCTGTCTCACACAAGACACTCTGCTCTCTCTCGCACACACACATACACTTGCATTACAATTCAAGGTTATTACAATCCAAGGTTCTTTACAGTAATTACTGTCAAGTGTAGTGACTGGTTTTGTAGGCAAATCTTTTATGTAGTGAACAATCACCGACCAAAATGTTCTTCAATTGCAAACTCTCATTCTCCTACCTTGGTTTGTAAATGCTACACATTGATTTCAATATCTGAATTGGCTTCATTAAATTCTATTCAGATATTGAATCCATCCACCACTGCTCATTTTAAATTAAATTGGATGCTGCTCACTGGTACTTTGTGACTGTGCAGCTCCAGGGCTTTGGAGCATACCAACTACAATTCAAAACACCTGAAGCTCTACTTGAAGAACGATTACAAGATAAAGAAATATAAGTAAGCACTTCAGTCAGACAAGTCACGATTCTAATTCCGTGTTCAGTTTTCCTCAAATGTGCTCCTCTCAAATCAGCACAAAAGGTTCCACTAAGGAGAGAACTAAATGCCAATCAAAGCACAAGGTGAAGCAGAGTGGCAGAATGACCTCGAGGCATCTTAACACACACACATGTTTCTACTGTTCACTTAATAGGAAACTTAAACTCTCATCTGAGTCATAGGGAGTTACAAGTAATATTGAGGGTCTAAATATATTTTTACAAGCAAGCTGCTCAGGTACAATTTCCATTCAACTAATTTCTCATCTGAAGAACTAATTACAATCATTTCAACCCGATTCTTGTTCCCTGAAAGATATCATATTGTTGTAAAACTGTGTAGAGTCAACAGTATAGGATACTTATAATAATATTAATAATAATAATCCTTATATTTAATATAAAGCCTAATCATGTTGTTGAGACATTTCAAAGTGATTCACAGAATATGCCTTAAAGTGAATAGACTGTATATTTTGTGGGCGAAGCACAGCAGCCATATGCACGTAGCAGTGTCCCACAAACAGTTGTGGATTAAGTTATCAAATTATTCTAATTCTTTTTTGGAAGGGATTATTACCCCTAGAAAGCGATCCACCAATCGTCTATCAACTGGGTTTCTACTTGCTGCTAGGTAAACAGAGGCATGTGGAGTAAGGAAACTCACCTTATCAGGTGGGTGTTCTAACCAATAAGCTACAGGACTCCACATTACTTACGTTGGCAAACGCCAAAATTCACAAACAGATAAAACAGGTGAACAGATAAAATATCCTTCATGAGGTTTGCTGGATTCAGTCTCCCATCCTATGATGTGTGGTGATGAATAAATAATCCTATATTAACCACCAAGTTAAAATGAATAATTAACTCCTACGAGTTTGTCTCAGTGTATAATTCAGCTGTAAAATGAGCGTTTTCCTGCAAAGTTAAAATTTGCGAGCAGAGCCAGCTGTGTTGATGATGGAGAAGTCAGTTTCAATTTGCAACTCAGCTTAGTACAAGACTCATTACAAATGTTGGATTATCTCTGGTACCAAATCTCTCTCAGCCGTACAGCTCCAGTATAATATATAATAATAATCCTTGAATTTCATACAGGACACGTCATCAAGGCATCTCAAAGCGCTTCACAGGACATAATAATAAACCTTGCATTTGATATAGTGCCTTATTACGTGTCAAAGCGCTTCACAGAATATACTGTAAAGTGAATACTTTGTCGGCGAATGCAGCAAACAATCTCCACACATGGAGTGAGTGACCAATTTTATTTGTGGGATTATAGGCTAGGACACCGGGGAAACTCCTTTTCTTAACGACTAGTGCCATGGGATCTTTAACGTCCACCTGAACAGGCAGATATGAGGGTTTGGTTTAACATCTCACCTGAAGGACGCAACATTGCAGCACCCCCCCACCCAGCACTGCATTGGAGCATCAATATCACATTATATGGGTTCCAAATTTAGAGGCAAGAATGCTACCAACTGAGCCAGGCTGACATCTAAATATATGTGTATAAATTCAGTTCTTATGTCATGTGCACAACTTTTCTTTTTGGAACAGGTGTAAAATTTAAATAACTTTAAAATAAAACAGACTGCAAGGACGAATAATGAAACCATTGAGGAAAAGACAAAAAATTATAAATCCTCAAAGACTTATAAAAATATTAAACTCTAAAGTCAGTTGTACTTCACCATTTACTGCAGTTACCTGAATTCACCAGTTGCTGTTCCATAACTCCACACCCCAGGACCTCCATCCACTCTCCCTGGAACTTGATCTCCATTTCAAAGGAAGGGTGTGTGAAAGGAAAGTAGCAATCTACCCATCTAATCTCCAGTCCTGTAGGCAATGCAAATAGAGCAGCATTTAGAGATCCTGTAAAAGTCCAACCTTCAGCTAATGATACCAATAACCAAATTCCAGGAAAATAAATAGCAAACAAACTCATTTACAACACTTTTGTGCGAGGTAATAAATCTTTGACCGCAAAAAAAAAGGTCAAGTCTTTTTCAGTATGAATAGCACTCGGTTTAATTCAGGCCCCCCCTAAAAAGAAATCAATCACTTGTCACATTCTCACAGCCACCTGGCATCCAAGGAAAATTAGCCAAGATCACAGAAAAACAGGTAATCTGTTACACGCTTTAACTGGGCTGCAACTGTAGCTGCATCTCTGAAATCATAAAGTAAGCCTCAACATCCCTTCCAGACTTTAAACACTTGGATATTTAAAACAATTGTCATGAGGCATCAATTCTTAGATCAATCTGTCGCCCATGTCAGAACAAGAAAAAATAATTTGTAATTCCGATCTGAGAATATTCAAAATTAAAAGGTTTGTGTTTTTCCAAACTCCTCCCCTAACTTGCTATTATTGCTATTTCATGTTGGGACGTCCTTCTGACGTGAAAGGCGCTATACAAATGCAATTTTGTATTGTATTATTAATATTTAATATCCCATCATAGCTTGAACTTTGCAAAGAGTTGTCATCACAAAATAATCTATTGCATTTTTGTGGTCAGTCGGGTTTCTGACACATGAAAAAACCTATCACCATGCTTAAGAGTATCAAACCCAGATAGTTCCATGTATGCCACCTTCAGATAGAAATGTCCCTGTGTTGAATGGAATGCACACTCTCTCCCGGGAGGGATGAATCCTGCTCACCTAATTCCAGAAAATATTAGATGCAAGTTCGTGAGATGCAAACCTTGAGGAACCCAGTGTGCTTTAATAATAATAATAATAATAATCCTTGCATTTGATATAGCGCTTTTCACATCGGGAGGACGTCCCAAAGCGCTTCACAGAATATACTGTAAAGTGAATTGACTGTATATTTGTGGGCGAACGCGGCAGCCAATTGCGCACAGCAATGTCCCACAAACAGTCGTAGATAGAAAATGACCAATTTATTATTGTTTTTGGTTTTGGAGGGATTATTATTAGGCGTATGGAGTAAGGAAACTTGCCCAAGGTTTCGCCCTGAGCCTGGAATTGAACTCAGGTCTCTCGCTTGCAAAGCGAGTGCTCTAACCACTGAACTACAGGACTCCAAGACCATTGGAACTACTGAATCCAAGACTCACAGCGTGCATTTAGGTGTCAACATACTTTAAAAAAAGGACTGAGGTTAACACATGGATAAAGCTGGTAACATACACATATCACTGAAAAGACTAATAATAATCTTTGCATAGTGCCTTTCACATTGGGAGAATGTCTCAAACCACATCACAAGATTTACTGTGAAGCGGAGTGACTGTGTACTTGTAAGCAAATTGCGCACAGCAATATCACACAAATGGGCCACAAAAAGAAACAAACAAAAAGCTTTGGGCTTTTGCCAAAATTTAACAAGCTAAAACTGCTTAAAACTGCAAACCAGCCTGAGAGTTCCACATGTGTATGCCACCTACACGTAGAAGTTTATGTGTGACTGGAATGGAATGCACATTCTCTTTGTTTATTGAACAGCAAAAGGACCACCCACCCGTTAGGGTTTTGGTTTGCAGGTCAATCGAAGCCTAATGGGAAAAATCCCTGCTCCCGTAGAGTGGTCTGTCTGGTCAGTCTGTCATCAGCGTTGTCCTTGAATACCGTGGACCCATCTGTCTCAGGAACTCGACTACCAAGACCACCAAAGAGGCCTGGCTTGATTACAACATTCTGTTGCCTCCCCAACTCCCAAAGGTGATGTTTCACTTCCTGGTTACATGGAAGCTGTACTGATCTTATTTTGTCCTTTCTTGTCAATAAAAATCACACAAATCTTATGTGGGATTGTCAGTTGCACTGTGTTTATACTCTATTCAGGGCATGGCACATTTCTGCAAATTGAAGATAGAAAGTTTTGAATTTAGTCTAAACATTCTTGTTCGTTTGAAATTTAAACCAGAACTTCATTAATTTAATACTTATCAAATGTTTGTTATAGATATATTGCATTGTACTATAGATGTGAGGTGGACTGGTGCTATTCCTCTTAACTAGACGTAGACACAGTTGAGTGAGTCATTGTTCACACTGAGTTTATTAGCAACACAATGTAGTAAAAATAAAATTTGATATTCTGTACTTTTATGGTTATCCACTGACATTATTAGAGAATAAAAATACATGTTACGTGTTACTACAATACCACACCAATGAACTATAGATTTGCTGCTCTAAACTATAACTGTTACTGTAGTCTCAGAAAGCTAATTCAGACCACCACTGTGGGTGCAATAACTCAGCAGCTTTAAAGTGAAAAACTCACCGTTGGTATCTCTTTAAAAATGAAAGACAGGCAGTAACAATTATCATGACTGGCAGTACACTTCTGTGGGCATGATTTTCCATGTACTGCTCTTGATTGCTTCAATAGTTTTGTTTGAAGAGTGGCAACCAAATAAATCATTAGTGGGATTGGCTTGGGGAGATGGGGAATGTAGCGTAAGGAAACTCAATGAACTCAACAGAGACACAGCAATTAAAGATGAATATAATTTGTAAGGCACAAACCCAAAAAAATTATTTCCAGTATCAAGTTTTTTCCAAATGATTTGAGAGTGGTGAAGATGTTGCAGTAGATGGGAACCACAGTAGCTGCAGAATTGCAAAATCAAATGCAAGTATTATTATTATTATTAATTGCCAGATGACTTCCAATTTTCCCATTTGGAGACACATTATCGAGGGTTCCTACCATTGTAACTTCACAACTTGAATATCTGTTCTTAGATAGCAGTTTCAATATTAAAAATATTCTCTCTATAAATTACAATAATAATCCTTGAAATTGATATGGCATCTTACCACATCATCAAATGCTCTTCACGGGATTTTCTGTAAAATGCAGTGACACTATATTCATAGACAAAAGCATCAGACAATTTTGCGCACAGCAATGTCCCACAAACAACCTCCTTTTCTTTGTCTGCATGCTTTCCCTTGGTGACATTGTGTGTTAGCCTGGCTCAGTTGAGTACACTCGCCTCTAAGTCAAAAGGTTCAAGCACCAAGTTGGGATTTCAAGCTCTTTGCAGCCCTACATTTTGGAGGTCCTTCAGATGAGTCTGGATGTTCAGGTAGTCATTAAAGATCCCATAGCACTATTTTAAAAGTAAAGTTTTTAAAGTTTTTCCAGTTTCCTGGCCAACAATCTTAGATTTAAAAAATTGAACATTAACTTTGTAGGACATTGCTGTGCAAAAATTGGCTACTGCATTTGCCTACACTTTACAGAAAAAAAAACTCTGAAGCACTTCAAACCAATTTGTGGTGATAAGGCACTAAATCAAATGCAACGATTATTATCCACAGATATGAGGTTCACCTCCACATAACATGGACGACACCCAACTCTAGCTTCTTGCATCTACCCTTGACTCCAAGACCACTGCTGTTCTGACACACTGCCTGATAAGACATCAAATTCTCGATGAGTGTTAATTTCTCCAACTCAAAGTCGACCAAACTGAGGCTATCCTGTTCAGCTCCTATCAGCACTGCTTACCTCAGGCGTAGACCATACTGACCTCCAACTAACGGAGACTGTGTGGAAGCATCCACAAGCTCCAGATCATTAAGAACGCCACAACCCACAGTCTCTCCTGGACTAGGCTCCACAAACCCATCACCCTCATCCTCACCTGCCTCCCCATCTCAAGCATATTGTATTTAATTTTCACTACCAGACATCTCCACAGCCTTGCTCGATCCTACCTCTGTGATCTCCTATGACCATACTCCCTCGGTTATACCTTCTACTCTGCTAACTCTGACCTGCTTCATACCCTCAACCCACTCCACCCTATCATCCGTTGGTGAGCTTTCAGACACATTGCCCTCCAGAAATCTCTTCCAAAAATCTTTGCTTTCCACCCCAGTCTTTGTTTTCAAAATTGATATAAAGACATGTGCGTTTGCCTGCATCTTTGGTCACATTCTCCTAAACACTCCCCACTTCTTCCTCTCATCAAGCTCCCATTCTATGTTTTTTGAAGCACCTTGGGACGTTCTCTCAAGGCACTGTATAAATGCAATTTGTTGTTGTTGTTGAGACGTTCACCCTAAATGAAGGGTGTTATACAATTATATAATTGTCGTACTGTTTTGCCTATTTTACAGGTGGACATTAAAATTCCAATGAAACAAATCAAAAGAAAAAGTGTTTCTCCCTGTATGCTGACCAGATTAATTTGCCATTCAGAATTTGCCTCGGAGTAGGCTGAGGACTGAGCATTTCTTGTTCATCAAACAAATGCTATTAAAAAGTAAATTTAGCCCAACCTGTATAAATGAAACAAAAGGACTCCTTTATAAAACCATTTCATAGACCAATACAATACAAAAGTACATTTGTATAATGTCTTTCACATCGGGAGGATGTTCAAAGGAACTGGACAGTCAGGGATTTGGACCCGAGCGTGGGTGGGGGGGGTTGGGGTAAGGGAGGGTGGAGGGCAGAGACGTGCATTGAAGGAGGCAAGGGAGGGAGAGGCGAAGGGAATGTGTATGGAATTCCAAAGGGTGGTGGCGAAGAGGCTGAAGGCCTGATCATCGCTGGTGGGGCGGGGCGGGTGGACGTGGAGCAGGCCACAGCCTATTGAGCACAGGGAGTGGACTGGTTGATATGGAGTCAGCAGATCGCAGAGCTAGGGAGGGGCAAGGCCGTGGGACCCAGGGAGGGCCTTGAAGGCGAGGACAATGATTTTGAACTCTATCCTCTGGGATAATAATTCAACAGCATTTTTTAAACCACTTTCTCTGAGAAAGTGCCTTGGCAAATGCCATAGTGGCATATTATTCATGCCTTCATCACCTCCAGGCTCGACTGTGCAAACGCCCTG